ACAACACAACCAACCAACATGATTTAATTATGATTTAATGAATTCATTGTCTCTAAGATTTCTGTTTTTTTTAAATTAAATTTATATATTTTCAAACTTTTAAAATTTACATTTAATCGCTGCATCTTTACAGTATACAAAATGTTTTTTCTAGCATGGATACAATGTATATCAATCAAGTCAAGTCATTGCATATCCATTATCAACAGATAACTTCTCATTCATGAGTCCATTAAATTGTTTTGTTATTTTAAATAACATGTATTTATTGAATCTATCATTTATATCATGGATTCTTTTCCTGGTTTTTGAACTATATAAGTTCTCTTGCATTCTGTTGAGTTTCCGTAAGATCATTATTTTGAATTCCTTTTCAGGCATTTCTTGGTTTTTTGTTTCTTCATACACAGTTACAGAAGAATTCTGTGATCTTTGGGAGGAGTCATGTATACTTTTTGTTTGTTTGTTTGTTTTTATGTTTCTATGTTCTTGAGTTGATATCTGGGCATCTGATGGAACAGTTTGTCTTTTCTGGTTTTATAGAGTAGCTTTTGTAAGAAAAGAAATTTTCCTGTAGATGTGTCTTATAGTATTGGCTGGGTAGTATGCTTTGACTTTGGTTCTACTTGAGCTTAGCAAAATAGTCTATATTTTCTTTGACCTGAATCTATGTCAGTAGTGCCTGCGAGTGCTTTTATGGCTGAGACTATATTTGTAGTTCAGTAAGTGGCTTTGTTGGGCGCAGGGGTCATTGGGAATGAGTACTAGGATCCTCTTATATGGGATAGGTGGTATACAGTCCATGAGGGCTTCACCAGTAGAGGAAGTAGCATATCCTGGGACCATGGCTATAGCAGGTGCCAGGTGTCTTTAGTGGTTGAGACCCAAGGATATGGGTATGGTATGCACAGAGGATGGGGTCCTCATTGGTTAAGTGATCAGCAGCAGCTGATCAGACTGGCATCTTCATGCTTTGTGTGGGACACATGTAGGTGCTGCTGATCCTGGGAGCAGAGTCACTGGTGATGGCTGCAGCAGTACCCAGGGCAGTGTCTTCATAGTCTGGCTATTTCATTATGTGACTTTTATTTTCAATTTTATATTTTTCTCTTAATTTTAAAATAATTTGCTAGAGGGCATGTGCGCACACTGAAGGCAGAGAGAGAGAAAAAGTAGAAAACATCCCTTATGGGAGTAGGCTATGCCACAATTCCTTCTCCATTTCTCCTTTCAGGATTTTGAGAATGCATGAGCAGGTGCCCAAAGATAAGATAGTCTTAGCTTTTTCAAGACATAAACTAAATTAAATCATAGGGTATGTAACTTTTTGAGACTGACTTCTTTCACCCATGGATATTCCACATACATACATAGTTTATTTCTTTTTATTAATAATGGTGTTCTTTTATATAGAATATATAAATTATACACCACAATCTGTCTATCTATTTAAACAATGATGGGAATTTGGGTTCTTTTCCATTTTTAGCTACCATAAATGGGGACTGCTATAAACATTTGTATACCAGATTCTATATTTATATTGTATGAATGTACACATCTTACTTGGGTCAATACTTAGGAATGAGTCAACAATAGGTGTATATTTAACTTTTACGAACTACCATATGGTCTTTCAAAGGGATTGTAGCATCTTACATTTATGACATTTTAATTTCTGATTTTTAGCCCGTCAGTGGCTTCAATTTGTCCAAAGTTTAAAAGAATGTTCAAATACTTTAGCCTGGCAGATGTGTCAGTCAAGTTTTTAGCAACACGTGATATATGGGATATATGATTTTTGGAAGAGAGAAATGAAAAGTTCACAAATCATTCTCCCCCGGGTTTGGTTTTCTGACTTAAATACCTGGATACCTAGCAAAGATACATGAAAGGCACAGAAACAATGGAAAAATAATGGTCTAGGGTGCAAAGTGTCAGGCTGAGGAGGCAGACATTTACGCAGGGAAGATCTGGAGCTAACCTACCACCAAAAATTCTACAAGGCCAGTCTTCTACAAGGCCAGTCTTCTGTAGACGGTGCTGTAGCCACAGCCAAACACATAGGTTGTACCTTCCACCTAGGTTTACAAGGAGGTGAAGTTCCTTCAAATCCAACTGGGGCACAGATGCTGGGCAACCAAAATGCAGACACAATGTCTGCTGGAGTTTATAGTGGTTTTTTTTTTTTTTTTGGTTGTTTTTTGTTTTGTTTTGTGATCCAGACATTACTCTCTGCAAACTGGATTACCTACTATCTATACAATTAAGTATATTTTGCATTGGTGCACCACTGAAATATTTTCTTAATTTAACAAATTGACTCACATGGATTTTTTTCCTCCTGAATGTGATAGCACAAGGGTTAAGCTTTCCCCTGCAAAAGAGTATAATTAATGTGTGTGTGTGTGTGTGTGAACACTCTTTTGAACTACTTTAACTCATTCGTTTAACTCAACATTAAAAGGCCTCAAGGCCACAGCTATAATGAGATTCACATTTTGGAGACTACAGCAGTGTAGTAATGCATTTCATGCTGTTGTTCTATAATTTGCCTAATCAAATAAAATGAGATCAAGCATTATATTGAAAAGGTCCAACCTCTCCATTCATATGAAATTATATTTAGCTAATCACGTAAGAAATTACTCTTTTTTTATCAGGATTTTGTTTGCATGCTAAGCTAGTTAGAACTCAGAATTTAGTTGGTGTATTTTATTTCTCTACTGGTATCTAGTTAGGCAGTTTCTCCTAGTGAATAAGGCTAAAATAATGAAAATAAGGTATGCAGCTTAGTTAATTGATTAAACCTATAGACTTTTATTAATTGCTTGCTATTTACTAACCACCCACTGACTACTTATTCACAGCAGCAAGGACAGAAAAATGATCCCCACCTTTACAAACTTTCTAATCTGTAATTTTAATAGTTTTATATTGCTGCTGCAACAAACCACTATAACTCTAGTGTTTTTTGTTTGTTTGTTTGTTTTGTTTTTTCTTTTTTTTGAGAGGTTTTTTCTATAGGGCGCGTGCACTCGCCAGACAGACAGAGACAGACAAAGAGACAGAAAGCAAGAAATCACCCCCCAGGGGGGATGGCCATGCTTCAATCCCTTCTCCTCCATTCTCCTCTCGGGATCTTGGGCACGCATGCACACACGCCTGGCGTGAGTTTAAGCCACTGGGTCTGGGACTCAAACCGCGGTTTACTACATGGGCGTCCAGTGATATAGCCATTACGCTAACTGCTGGTCCCTATAACTCTAATGTTTTAAGACAGTTATTTGAAACTGGAATTATTATCTAAAATATTGTAGGTCAGAAGTCTCAACACTTTTCTTATGGAGACTCTTAAGAATAATCTATCTCCTTGAAGTCATAGACTGAGATTTCTGTTTTTAATTACATTTTAAAACTAAATTATTATAAATATAATTACAAAATTACATACAATTGTATGATTATTTAATGTGATATAAACATAAATATTTAAAATTAAAGAAAACAGCACACTTTAATAATCTGGTTATAAAATATAACTGAAAAATTAATACATAAACTTAGTTTTTAAAATAATAGTAATAAGTAACGATTTAAATTACGTATATAAATAACATATAAGCTCATAATTTATACTTATGAAGCTTTCAAATCTAGTGTGGAGAATTATGGAATGAAAGAGATAAACACATACAGTGTCTTTGACTTTACATGTGAAAAAATAAGAACATGTAAAGTATTTCCTCATTTTTATATTTAGAGCCATTTGTGTCAAAGCTTTAAAAAATAATTTCAAATTTAAGCATTCATAAATTAAAATAATTTGTTTCCAAATAACTAAGGAATATAAAACATAGCTGAAGAAAAAAATTGCTCATAGATGATTAAAAATAGGGATAAAATAAGGACAAAAATCAGAAACTATGGACCAGCAGTTAGCGTAATGGCTATGTTGCTGAACTGCCATGTAGCCAACCGCGTTTCGTGTCCAGACCCAGTTGTTTAAACTCACGCCAGGCGCGTGTGCGTGTGTGCCCAAGGTCCTGAGGGGAGAATGGAGGAGAAGGGATTGTGGCATGGCCATCCCGCCTTGGGGTGGGGGGGTAATTTCTTGCATTTTCTCTGTCTCTCTCTGTCTGGCGAGTGCACACGCACTATAGCAAAAACCTCTCCAAAAAAAAAAAAATCAGAAACTAAAATATCAAAATAATGACAAAATATATCATTTAGAGTTGCAAATAAAAGCAATTTTAAAACTTTAGTAAAGTTTAGTAGCTTACATTTTATCATAGAAAAATTAAAATAGAGGACCAGCAGGTGGCATGGAGCTTAAGTCAACTGGATCTGACATGGCTGACTACATAGTTCAAGTTCTAGACCCAGCAACTTGAAAAACTCACCAGGTACATGTGTGTAAGTGCAATAAAAGAGTGGAGAAGGGATTGTGGCGTGGCCATCCCTCCTGGGGGGTGATTTCTTACTTCCTCTCTCTGTCTCTCTCTCTCTGTCTCTCTCCAGTGAGCACATGTGCCCTATAGCAACAACAACAAAAAATAGAAATAAAAATAAAATGTAATAAATCTAATTAAATAATAATATAACATATAATAAATACAGCAAAACATAAATTAAAATAAAATTTAATAAATCTAATACAATGAAGAGTTGATAAGATAATGAAAGATAAATATAGGTAGGTATCAAAAATTCAAAATGTTTAAAATAAGACCAAAGGTACGTAAGGAGTCTTCAAAAAGTTTCTGAAAAATGCGTATTATGAAAAAAATTATGCATGGATTTTAAGGGGTTTCTGCACTAAAATGAACTTGTACTTTAATTCCATGTTTTCACTAACTTTTTGAAGTCTTCTTGTACATTACAACTCCTGAAAGAACTAGTTTAAATGTCTTCACACTGGATAAGATATAGAAACAAATGTCCACTGACGAATAACTGGATAAAGAAAATGGCATATATAGAAATGAAATATTACTCACCCTTAACAAGGAAGGAATTCAGAGCTAGTCCAAGAGCTTAGTGGTTAAGAGAGCCAGATCCCGCATGGTTGACCACAGCTCAAATCCTGACCCAGGCAACTTGAAGAACAAAATCCTGAAAGGATGGAGAAATGAAGAAAGGTTACAGTGTAAGCCCATCCTACTAGGGAGGTGCTTTTTCCCTCCTCAGTCACACTCCAGTCTCTCTGGCAATTGAAAGAAAGAAAGGAAAGGAAGGAAGGAAGAAAAGAAAGAAGGCAGGAAGAAAGAAGGAAGGAAAGAAGGCTGCCGTTTGTAATAACTGGATGAATCTGCAAGACTTTATGCTGAGTGAAATAAGCCAGTCACAGAAGGATAAATACTATCTGTAATTACTTTTATGAGTTGTCTAAAATAGTAAGCCTCATGGAACCAGGGACTAGAAAGATGGTTGCCAGGAGTTGGGAGTAGAGGGGGAGATGGGGAATTGTTTTTTCATGTGTGTACATTTTCTGTTATGCAAGATGAATAAGTTCTAGAGATCGATTTACCACATGGTACCTATAGTTAATTTAAAATGTTTGCACTTTAAAATGTATGAGGAAGATCTCATGTTAAATGTTTTTTATCACATGAACAAAAAGTGCACCAAAAAGCACAAGGACATTTGAAGGTGATACACATTTTGTACCTTGGCTATGGTGCGGAGTCCTGAGTGTGTGCATATGTCCAAACTCACCAAGATGTAACAGTAAATGCATGTGATTTTTAATGTATCAACCATACCTCAGTATAACAAACAACAAAACATAAAATTCAATGACTTACATTAAATGAAAGAATATACAGGATAATAATTTCTCTCATATCACGCCTAAACTATGATGATAGAAATTAGAACAACTAAACTATGGTGACAGAAATCAGAAAGGTTAGATAATAGGAGGTTATGTGGAGTGCTGAATTTAATGGAAAACCAAAAAGGACTCTATTGTGGTGATGAAAATGATCTATAATATGTGCAGTACTTGAAAATTGCTGAATATACAAATTCTTGGGACCCACTCCAGACCTTCAGAAACAGACATTCTGAAGGTAGGCTCCAGAGGTCTGTATTTTAATAAGTCACTCCAGACATTTTGATATTTGCTAACAGTTGAGAATCGGTACCTTGTTTAGGGTGGTAGTTACACAGATGTAATAAGTTATCAGTAGAGTAAAATATTTAGAAGTTGTTTTATTTTAGGTAAACTGTATTCAGTTTAAAAAATGAGCTATGCACAAAGATTCACTGTTTGAAAAAAAAACAATGACTTAGATTTTAAGAGGAGAATAAAAATAAACAAAAATAAAACCCACCAAACAATATAAAATGACACAGAAACATTAAAAATTAAAAGTGAATAAGCACAATTTTATAAGGAAAATGCACGTGAAAATAGAATAGATTGCCAAGAGATAGCTGAAATAAAGAAATATGATGCCCCAGGACTACTATATACTCAAATTTGAAGAAATATTATAACTTAATTCAGTCTTCCACTATCTGAAAAAAAATTCTGGGGGATATTTTTGATATAATGGACTTTTTTGTTGATTAGCATTTGATATGTAAGTAATACATAAAAAGAAAAAAATTCGCTTTTTAGTTAATTAGACAAACTTATCTCCAATATTTAATGCTCCTTAAAGAATATGAAACATCCACAATCAGGAGTTTCTTCAGTATGCTGTGTATGGATCGGATGTTAAAGTAAGTCTTAGTTTTATGGAACAAAGTCTATCTATCCAGATATCTAGTCAGTTACTGGACGAGTGCTAAACATGTACTCCATGATAAACAAAATATGAACTCTAGGAAGTCCATCATGGGGCCAGCAAATAGCATAGTAGTTACATCACTGGACTTCCACATGGCTGACTATAGTTTGAGTCCTGGACCTGGTGGCTTGAAACATGCTAGGCACATGTGCATGTGTGCCCAAGATCCCAAGAGAAGGACAGAGGAAAAGGGATTGTACTATGCATCCCTTCTTGGGGGTGATTTCTCACCTCTCTCATGGTCTCTGTCTCTGTCTCTCTCTCTCTCTGGCAAGTGCTCATGCCACAAAGAACCTTTAAAAAAAAGCGCATTGTACTAGGCATGTACCTGTATAATTCCCTGAATGCTCCTGTACAGGATAAATCATTGTAGTCTCAAAGGAATGTATTGTGACACTTCAAAGATACAGCTTTGATGCTGTTCAAGTAGAAAGCTGGTGTCCTATCATTCTTGAAGAAAATTGAAAAATCCGTTGGTGTCCTTTAGACAGTTTTCAAAAATTTAAATGCTTGATAACTTTCTATGTATTTTCCTGTATGACACTATTATTATTTGTTTAGCGATAGTAGATCTAATCCAAAAGAAAAAAATATTTGAGTGGAGGAAAAGAAACCAATGAAAAAAATGTATTTTATAATATTTTTTATCATAAATAGAAGATAAGCATGAAGACAATGAGAACTCAGCAGTTAAGAGATAGTCCTCTAAAATGAATAGTTACACAAGAGTAATTTAGAAAGACAAGTCTCCTGATTCAGGATGAAAGGGATACAAGGAATGAAATGGAGTTTTGTGTTTTATGTTCTTTCTTTTTCTTTTTTTTAAAAGAGAATTATTTTTTGCTTTATGGAACATGTGCTTACCAGAGAGACAGAGTCTGAGAGGCAGAAAGCAAGAACGTACCCTCCGGGGGTAGCCATACCACAATCTCCATTCTTCTCTAGGGATTTTGGGCATGCATGCACATGGAACCAGAGTGAGTTTCAAGCCACTGGGTTCAGGACTCAAACCATGGGAGTCCAGACTTCAACCACCATGTCACCTGCTGGTCCTAGAATAGTTTTTTATTTTAACTGCAGAAAGTGATTTAGAAAACATCCACCAGAATGTACCATTGTCATCTTACACTAAACAATAAAAACAACCACCACGAATAATCTCTGATCTTGACCCCTACGAAGCTTGTCATATTCTATGTCCACTATTTCATGAACCAGTTATGACAAGTGGAAATCATAACCAATTTTCTTCTATTTCTTATTTGTACTAATTATCTTTTCTCTTCTTTGTTATTCCTATTACAATCAACTTAATCTAGGATAATACCATCCAATAGAAATTCTGAGATAATGGAGAACATTTATAAATCTGTAAACAATATGGTATCAATTTGCCATCTGTGGGTATTGAGCCCTTAGTATATATTATAGGGACTGAGAAACTAAAATTTTAATTTATTTAACTTTAATTAATTTAAATTTAAATATCCACATGCTGTGACTAGTTTCTATTATATTGGACAATGCATATCCTGGGGGTTAAACTCTCACTTCATTCATATATACACCTAGTCATTTAAAAATATATTTTTGGGAAAACTAGTATGTAACCTGGCATAATAGAATTCCTTGAATGGCCCTAGGACATAGAAGTGTTCTTCCCTCAATGCATCAGAGAGAGAGAGAGAGAGAGAGAGAGAGAGAGGAATACACTGCTTTTTATGTCCTAGTTTGGAAATTAAGCATCGCCACTTCCCTATATCATATTTGTTAAAAGAGAGTTACTAAGTCCAGCTTACCCTCAAGGGGAGAGCATTAGGCTTCACCTTTTAAGGGAAGAACACCAAAGAATTTGTGGACATAGTTTAATTTGCAGGAGGCAGTGCGAGATTGCCAGAGAGAAAACGAGAGGGAGAGAAAGCGAGAGGGCATCTGTTCATGGGGGATGGACACATCATAATTCCTTTTCCTTCATGTCTCCTTTTGGGATTTTGGGCACACACAGGTGTCTGGCATGTTGTCCAAGTCGCCAGTTTCAGAACTTAAAGCATGTAGTTGGCCATTTGGGATCCAACTGCTTTAACCATCACAACACCAGCTGGCCCTTGTGAGCATATTTTAAAGCTAGTACACTAATATGGGGGACCCATGAGTTTATCTGTATCAGCAGGTATCTTTGCCCAATGTAAGAAAATATGAGCTCACTTCTAGTCCCGTTACTTTACCTGTGAAATACATAAGCGACAATTTTCAACAAGTTGTTATACGTATGGTTTTATACCTAAAGAAATGTTGATCAAAGTCATGAGAATGGATTAAATCACTCAGAGAAAGTTGGAGGGATAGATATAGAAGAGGGTCAAAGTTGGGGTAATACCAACAGTAAGACAGTATTGGTGGAAATGGAACCAAAAAATGTTTCTAAAAACTGATCATTGAAATGTGTGAAGAACACCAAGGAAGCTCATAAGTCAAAGAATCAGAGTGTTTATGAAAAGGAAGTGAATATAATACATATTGACTTCAGTTTATAAGACTTCTGGAGAGGAAAAAATGGAAGAAGGATGGAGACTTTTATTTATTTTTTTTAATAAGGTAGAAATTACACAGATATTGCAAAAATGTCCGTATCTGTTTAATCTAGATGGTAGGTAATGATTATCTATTTGTTATGTGTATTAGTGTATTGGAAAGCTCATATCATTGCAGAGCTGAGTTAGTTGTATTAGTGAAATTCAAAGGAACTGGTCGCTCTGCCAAATCCTGCAGAAGGTCAAGTAGGGTAAGAGCTGAAAACCGTCCATTGGATTTCATAATAAAGTGTTCTCCTGGGCCCTTGATAGAAACAATTCCAGTGAATTAGTGAGGATAGAAGCCAGATTATAATAAACTAAGAAATGAAATAGAAGGTTGATTGAAAAAGTTAGAGGATTTTATAGGCTCAGACATTATTCTTTGTTACTGCCTCTTTTTTTTTTTTTTTGGAGAGGTTTTCACCTTAGGGCGCAGTGCGCTTGCCAGAGACATAGAGACAGAAAGTGAGAAATCACTCCACCACCACCACCCCCCTCGCCAGGGGAGATGGTCACGCTGCAATCCCTTCTCCTTCATTCTCCTCTCGGGATCTCGGGCACGCACGCACAGGCGCCCGGTGTGAGTTTTAAGCCATCGGGTCCTGGACGCGAACCGCGGTAGACAACGTTGGAGTCCAGCGACATAGCCATTACGCTAACTGCTGGTTCCCTGTTACTGCCTCCTTTTAAAACAAGGTGCCTTTATTTACAGATCT